AGTGTGTGTGTGTTTGCTTTTTGCTTTTTAAAAATGTGTTTGCCTTTAAACAAGAAAAAATAAAAACAATGGAAGAAAGGAAAACAAGGAAAAATGCTTTTGAATTTGAATCTAAATTATGGCCTTTGCTCATGCTGGCTGGGGATTATGGGAGCTGAAGTCAAACACCAGGAGACTCTGATTAGACCTTACTCATCCAAGTATTTTCTACATAGATATTGCCTGCTTTTTGCCACTTTTAGTTTTGATGTAACGTGGGCCTCAGGATGGTGGAGGGGTAGGTAGATACTGCCTTTATGTAACGTGGATAACGGTGCAACATGTCTCCTTTTCAAATGCTTGTTTTCTATTTTGGGCTATTCAGTATCCTCATTCAGGATAATTTTCTGACAAAAATGTGTCAGTTGTACAATTCAATAATGGATCCTCATATTGCTTTATTGTCAGGCAGTGGTATTCAGAGTTGTCCTAGGAAACATCTGTTATACAGTAGACCTTTGTCCTGCAGCACATCTACCACTCAGCTCCTCAAACTGTTCTGCAAACTTTTGAAAACCTTTTAAGGGGCAAATTGGGGGTACTGAGGAAACTTTGGGGGGAGAGGAAATTTTCTTTCCTGATTCCGTCTGCTGAAACCATTTTCGCTAATGAAAGCATAAGCGGTAGAACCTCTTCATTTATTTTCATAGTACTAGAAATTGTTATATGTACTCATATTCAGATGTCCTGGAAATTACTGTACATTTACATATTGTTCCAAATGTGCTTCCAGGTGCCATAAAAAAAGTGTGTGTGTGGGGGGGAATCTGAAGTGAAACGTCACCTTCTTACAAAGTAAATATCTTCTGCAGGTATCCCACTACCATATAACCTTAATTCCTCCCTTAATCTGAGTTACAATGCATATGACACTGATAGCCATAACAGACCATTTTGTTTTTGTGAGTGGTGTCATGAGCTAGTAGTTAAAGCTGTAATTGTCTTTTAGTGCTTTTTGTATTCTTGTTGCTGTCCAAAATGGTGTAAGGTCAGTAATAAAATAAATCATAATGCTGCTGGGCTTCATGATGTGTCCTAATATTTGTTTCCAACTTCACAGGTAAGCACTGTAAGTCATTCATGTAGTCAGGCATTTGCCCATAGGAGAATTATGACCCTGACTCATGGAGAAAATGTGCATCATATGTAACTGAGTTTCTTCCTTTTAAAGCCTTCGTTTGGTTTCCTGAATGCATCCTGTTCAACATTTTTCTACCATACATTTAATCAAAGCTGTACAGGTAATCCTTGTTTAGTGACTGCCTCGTTTAGTGACCATTTGGAGTTACGATGGTAATGAAAAAGTAATGTTACAACCCATCCTCACATTTACAACCTTTGTAGGTCTGTAAAACAAAGGAAAGCTGAAGTAAGTTCATAAGCACAGTCGTGGTTTCACTTCTCAACCACTTTGCTTCATGACCGAGTTGCCGGTCCCAATTGTGGTCACTAAATGAGGACTACCTGTATTGTGAATGGCTCTCCAACAGTGTTGTTTAAGAGTTATTTTTATACCTTCTATCTAGAGCGGTAGGGTGGGACTACAACTCCCTGAATTCCTGCTCAACAGCCATATATGCTACACATATTGCTTCCTTCTATAGAAGACATCAGTGGATGTTTATATACAATGCAGAATAACTTATTTAAATCAAGAATGTTATTGTCATTTGTCACTAGTCCACAGTAACCTTAATCTATTACTAGAATTGTAGACTACTTACTAGACTGATACGCAATTAGAAAAGTTTTGTTGATTGGTGTTTTACAGAGTTTTCTTCATTGAGAAATTCAAATTTTCTTCTCAAGAAGCAAGTGCAATTAATAGGTCAGTATTGTTAATTTTAAGTTGCTTTATTGTTGCATTAACCATTACTTCCCTGAGAGCAATCTGTTTCAAGCTTGTGTCTCCAAAGAATTATCAATATCTTTCTTGAAATAAGATCATGAAAGGAAGTGCAAAATTTCCTTATGAGATATTGTTGTGCTATATGCTGTTAAATTACTCTTAGCCTTAAAAAAAACAAAACACAGAGTTTGACTTTGCTTAACTGAGAAAGGTAAGTTTTTAATCCTTAATATATACTCTTTTTTTTTTTTTCATTTTACTGTCTTCTTTTTCTTTTGTTTTTTTTTTTTATTTTTTTTTTTTAAACACAGAGTTTGACTTTGCTTAACTGAGAAAGGTAAGTTTTTAATCCTTAATATATACTCTTTTTTTTTTTTGCATATTACTGGCTTCCTGATCTTTTGGGTTGTGGGGAAATTAGCATTGTTCTGTGTTTCTGTGCTAGTTTTCTTGAATAAAAGTTGCATGGAATATCTTCCTGAAGTCATGAAGGTGAACTTTCAAAAGTTTGTTATGATACAGTGTTTGTTTGTTTGTTTGAATGCTGCTTCAGCCACTGAAGTAACTTTAAGGGGCCTGATGTAGATTGTGGCCTTGCTATTCCATGGGGTCAAAAGGGCAAGCTTCCACTGGGAAGCTTCAGGCTTCTTTCTAAGGCAGAGTCAGGGTGATACTTGCAAATGGAATGTCCTCATTTTTATATATCTTTTATTCTGGGGGTTGTCTTTTACAGATAGAGAAGAGATTTTGGAATGAGCATATAACCTTCAGACCATGCACATGGATACTGTATGTTGTACATAGTTAAACCATTTTAGTCAGTTGGTGTCTTGAGAGTAATGGTCTCAGATAGGAGGTCCCCTTCTAGCTAACTCTGCCTGAGTCATTTCTGGCTATGCTCTATCTTTAATTATCTGAAGACATTCCGATGTTTTTCAGAGTTAGCGCATGTACACCATTTAAATTGATTCTCATTGCTTTGTAATGTAAGATCACAAAATAAACAATTAGATTTATTTTTTTTGACAAAGTCTGTTTCTTTAGATCATCTCAGCCATAGATTGTGAGTTTATTGATAGGAATGATTGTACATCTCAATATCTCAATCAAGAATAATTCAAGGCTTCGTAGGGGAAAGAGGATGGTGAAGGAAAGAGGAGTTATTCTAGAATGGGAAAATCAGCTTCAATTTATTTTGCACTTTGATTACTTGGCTGCTTTGACATGACTTTTCTGATTTCTATTTCAGCATTGTGTATGTCATATCAGCCCCAATGTCCCCCGTCTTTGGAATTCTAGTAGATAAAGTTGGAAGGAACATCACATGGGTTATATGTGCAGTGGTGGCAACTCTAACGTCTCACATTATGTTGGCTTTTACTTTCTGGAACCCTTGGGTTGCAATGGTAGGTATTTCATCCAACTTTGTTTTTCTGAAATAAAGCAATATGCTGTATGTCAAGTACTTTGCCCTTAAATGCACCTGTGTGCATTTGGATAACAACTATAATCTCCAAACAATGAGGCTATGCTAGATGGGAATTCTGTGAGTATGCTCCCAGTGGATCTGGTGGGCACAGGTTAATAATACTGCTCAAAAATTTTGATCTCTTCCTCCAAATTCTACAACCCAGATGCCAAGCTTTCTATAGCCATTGGCGAAACATGGTCTTCCAAATGTTGCTGAACTTCACTTCCCATCAAGCCTAGGCAGCATGGCCAGGATGTGATAATGAGAGTTCCAGTCCCACAAGATCTGGAGGGCTTCAACTCATCTATGCATGTATACTGCCAATCATCCACATGACTGTACTAGATACTGCTTGCTGTTACATTATTTAGCTTACCAGCTGTACCCAGCTGTTATTTGACTGGCAGAATAAACAAGTGAAGCAGCTTCACCACTGGGTAACAGTAGAAGAATGACATGATATTTATTAAGCCCATACAGCTTGGCCCCTCTGGAACTTTGGATGGCTCACCCTTAATGCCTTGTATAAAAGCTTTTTTCCCCCTTACAGTGTTTGCTTGGAGTTGCTTATTCCTTGCTTGCCTGTGCCTTATGGCCTATGGTAGCTTTTGTTGTTCCAGAACACCAGCTGGGAACTGCTTATGGCTTGTAAGTAACATATCTTTGGATCTTGTTGCAGTTCATCTTTAAACTACTGATCATAACTGTTCTGTAGTTCCATCTTTTTATTTATAGCACATTATTTGACTATTCTGCATGCTTAGCAGATTACCATTTAGTTTACCTAGGGTTTTTTAATGTAAATTTTCCAAAACAAGGGTGCTTCTGTACTTGGATACAGTTCTGAGTACTGGAAATAGTCCTTGATTAAGATATTCCAGGCCTGATTCAAAATCTGTGTTCAGGCTTTTTTTTCTGACTTCCACAACTGATTCAAAGTGCGTGCTGCTCTTATCGTGACCAAATCAGAATGTAAGAAGCCAAGAGAGAAATGGATTGCACACAAGCACATTTAACCAATGTGTGCACATGTGAGAGCCTACTCTGAATCCCTTCTTTCTCTCCCACTGCCTTCACAGAATGATGCTTCTCTCTCCAAAATTAAATGTCTCAATCCTGACACAGACATGAGTGTTGAGCAGCAAGGGCAGATCTCTGAACCTTTTATGTACTACATATCCCCACTTGTGGGCCTCCTTGACCCTGCACAGCTATCAATACACTGTTATCTGTGCAAGCTTCAAAAATGATTCAGAAAAAGATGCTTTGGGTCTCACAGGAGCACAGCATTTCTTTTCCTTTGATTAAGCACCCTATCTTTGTTCACAGTCCTGTGTGAATCTGAAAAATGGGGCTGCTGTTTTAGGAAATTGACTGATGTATGGCTCTTGAAGCTTTTCTTCCAGGATCAAATGGAAGTCTGAAAAAGGTGTATCAGACAGAACCCGTCCTAGTTCTCAGGAAGATAAAGGGAGGGAGGGGGGAAGTGCACTCAGACTTGTAAGATTCTGTTACTATAACGTTATAATAAAAGTAATATTAGAATTCATAATCTTGGTTGACTAGTCTGCTCTACAGAAGGGCTGACATCAGTCTTGCAAGTCTCAATACACTTCCCCCCTCTCTCCCTTTATCTTTGTGAAAGCTAGGGAGGGTCCTCTCTGAGATGTTTTCTCAAATTGCATTTGTGCCCCAGACTCATATTTCTTTTATCTGGCCATTATCTTGGTTGGGGCTCTTCCTCCTATTCCTCAGGGCTCTTCCTGCTCCCTGCTACTGCATGTGAGACTGTAGAAGATGGGCTTCTTTCTACTTCAGCCTTCCTTTTAAGTGGTAATTAAGTATATTTTGGATTTTAATACACAAATACCATTTTTGTTGGCCTGTAAGATGTTTTATATTTTACATAAATGCAGAGGTAGCTTTCTAAATTAGCTTATTTGTGCTGGTTGGAAACTAAGTGTGGGTTATAGAATGTAATGTTCTTACTGCTTTCTAGCATGCAGTCAATCCAGAACTTGGGTCTTGCAATCATTGCCATTGCTGCTGGTATGATACTGGATTCTCGAGGATACTTGTTTCTAGAAATTTTCTTCAGTGCCTGTGTATGTTGTAAGTATGAAGTCATGTGAAAGCTACAATGGTAGTTTATGAAAGAGTTTTAGAAATAGCTTGCAAGAGAAATTCTGATTTAAAGCCATATGTTTTTCTCATTCTTTCCCATTGTACAAATGAAAAAGAAGTCTCCCCCCCTCTTTTTTTTTCCCTTTAGAACAACAACTTTATTGCATTTTATAAACTGGAATAAAACACTCTGAGAAAACTGTGTTGTTACATAACTCGGTCCTGGTTTTTTTGACAAAGATGTAGTTTTCATGTGGTTTAGTTCTTGTGGGATATTAGGCAGCGAATTTTGCTTGTGTATTGGCAGCTTTCCCCACCATTTGTTTTCCAAATGTACTTGATTTCTATTCCCAAGCTATCCCAGTCATCATGGGGATTATGCAGGTTGAAGTCTAGTACATCTTCAGTTTGATTTACAGAGTAACAAGCATTACAACAAAGAAGCATGTTGGATAGCTGTAGGCCAAAACAAGTCACGTGTTTACACCTGATCTCTATAAGGACCTGTCAGGCTAACAAGAAGATTTGAGCAGAAGGGACAGTTTCTGCCCCTCTGGTCCCCAGGTCTCTATGACTCTTCAATCTTTGCGTTGACTTGATGAATTTGATCCATGTTCTGGTTTTGCCTCACTTTGTCTCTGGCTGCATTTGCCACATTGCCCTCAGTCTCATTCTTGAAACAAAAAAACTTGTCCTCTGTTGTAGAAGCTGGCTATGATAGCTGATGTTTATACTTTAGTACTCGTGAAATTGTGCACATGTCAATTTTGCTATGCTTGCACATACATATTTGGAACCTAGCATTCTTGTATTGTTTGCATGTGCAAATTCCTCTTGTTGCTCATACTAATAATTTCTGTGAACTCATATTTAAGCCTCCTTGTGAGATATATTCTATTAAGGCTAATTTTCAAGTTGTATGGTTTTCCTTTTTATAATTTCTTATTTTTGTCTTCAGTGGCCCTCATCGCTGTCGTCATGTTGTACTTCGTGAATTTGTTCAGAGGTAAGCGTCTTGCTGTCTTAACTTCTCTTGACATTTGAATCTTTGAATCAGCAGTGTGTAAAAATGGTAACTTTACCTTGAAATAACATCACACATTACAATGGCACAACACTTGTTTCAGAATAAAATTTATCAATTATTCTTTGCTGATGGTTGAAATGTAAACCTTAGTCATGACTGTTCCATTTTTTCTTTTAAATGATAGATAAGTTAGCTTCCCTGAACCATTTTGTTTTTTACCTAATATATTGAAATTGCAGGCTTTTTCTTTGAATTGTACTTAATATATTATCAGTTTCATTTCAAAGGTCATTACACAACTGTATTTTCTTGAAAAAAAGACTAGAGTTGTCCCCTGATAATATGTTTCAAAGTAGGACTATCTTAGGTTGCAGTGAAGCAGACACATATTTTTCTGTCTAATTATCTGTTGGTGGGGTGAAGGGAGGGAGGCCTTTATGAGTGTTGACCTCTTTGGGTAAATATAACATATTCCTTGTTACCACAGTAGCTTCCAAAATGCTATACAGTCATTTTGTTAACCACCCTTCTGGTCTATAGAGCTATTTGGAGGTTAGGGAGGGATAAACCAATGGGCTTTGTTCTACTGCCAATCAGCTTTGGTTGGCTACAGTGCTGTACTAACTCTGAATTTATAACGTCAAGTACTTACCTCTAAAGAATGAATATAGCTACACAAACATTAAAATATAATGAACAGGAGTAGCAATGAAAAACCAGGATGGCGACATCCCCATTAGTTCTCAGAAGTCCTCTGGAAGAACTAGTTTTAACCAAGTTTTAACGAAGTTCTGGAAGGCTGCTATGGAGGGGGTTAATCTAAAACTGTGGGAGGCTGTTCCAGAGTTCATGTGCCATTGCCAAGAAACAATGTCTCTTGAACTCAACCTACCTCATCTCAGAAAAACGGAGCACCACCAGCACTTTTTCTTGAGGTGGATGTTGATTGTAGCAGAGAAGGCAGTCCTAGGTGCCAAGCCATAAAGGGCTTGATAGATTGAAACCAGCACTTTAAATTGCATCCAGAAATCTATTTGCAGCAAGTTCTGGGTATGCAATACAATGAACAATGCATATGTTCATTACAGCAAGGAAGCCATTGTGTACTGAACCAATTGCAGTTTCTGGTGTTTTTGAAAGGTAGCCCTTTGTGGAATGTACTGCAGGATAGTAACTTCGGTGGTGTCTTCTTTAGGACTTCAAACATAATTTTCCTAAATCCTGCACATTCAACCAACTTTTGTTCTGTCAACCTTTACTGTCCTCAGTTTGGAGTTGTTTGTTTTTTTTCCTCCAACTTGTAAAAAAATGTTTCCTAAATAGTCATGCTACTAAGGCTGGCCAACATAAACTCACATTATGGTATGTGTTTCAGAATTACAGATGGTATTATTTTCCTTGTAAAAACAGATGATCTATTAAATTATATGTGTATCCCTTCTTCCACAGGAGGCGATCTTAACTGGTCTGCAAAGAAAAGAGAAAAATTTCAGAAGCTGGCCATGGCTGAGTAAGTATGTAACAGTGGTCCTAGAATATATGTGGTATTAGAAAACCCCTGGATTGCAAATGGGTATGCAAAAGATCTGAGGGCTGAAATAATGTACTATTTTGATTTAATGGGATCAAAATATTCATCATATTGTGAGATGAATTTGTATGGCTGAGCAAATGTATTTCTTTACAGTTCTTAAAAAGTTTTAAAAAAAGGTTACCCCTAGTTATGCAAGTAAGTTGAAGTCAGAAAAGACTTTTGACTTTGGAATCACAGTAAATATAGGGCTTTGGAATACACAATGTTTTCTCGCCCAGGTAAATTACTGCTGGCTATAGTATAGTTGTGCGGGGGACATCTGATGCTTTTCCAAATAGTGATTGCTAGTTGGTGAAAAAAAAGAAAGATGGCATGTTGTGACTTCATCTTGTGACAAATAATGTATCCAGCGCTATTCCTGACTTAAGAAACTGACTACTATTTAGCTGAAGAATCTAAATCCAGAGGTAGGTTCTTAATCTTGAGAAATATTCTGGTTATTCAATTGTGAATGTTTTTTACAATCTGAAGTATTACTAGATATTGTATAGGAAAAACTTTTAGAACTTTGCTTACCTGTCAGCTGCTGACTGTTGATTGCCTAACACATATCATTCCTTTAAATTGTGTTATAGAGAAGAATACCATGAACTCTCTCCTTCTGCAAGGCAAATTGGCATATTGAAAGCCTATGTGGCTATAGATGTTTCTTAAAATAAACACTTTTAAAGAGTATCCAGATGAATTTATCCTTAGGATCCTTCTACGGAGCTAACAGTCACATTTTTGTTTTAGAAACAGCATGGAATCTTTCCAAATGGCAGTGTAAGTTTAGACACATTGCTGCTGGCCATTATCAAGAAGGAGCTTGCCTTTCTAGATTTACTTCCCAGGAGATATTGCAAAATATTATGCAAATGGTTTAGAGTGCCCTCAGTTCATTTGATGTAATGACCAGCTCTCCTGGCTCTCACTATTATCTCATGTGCAATGTGACAGTACTCAATCACTTTACTTATTTATTACAATATGTATATAATGCCATTTCCACAAGGGTTCCTGGTGGTTTACATATATCCATAAAAATATACAAAAAAATCACATTAAAAAAACGTACTCTCTTGATGATCCTTTCTGGCAACCATATAGACTGAATACTCTTTGTGACAGTTGTAACTGCCTCCCATAAGGCTGTCAGGGAGGACACCAGCCAGATCTTGGGGGCAGGGGTGGGAGGCGTCTGTTTCATGGGGATGGAACTCACACAGAAAGTAGTGTTTTCTAGCTTTCCCTCCCTGGATGTTACATGGATGGGACATGCATGCTGAAGAAGTCAGTTCTATTTATGGCAGGTGGTCCTGAAGGTATTTCAGACCAACACTTTGAATTGTACTTGGAAGCCTATTGACAACCATACAGGTGGCTCTCACTTTCCAGTAGGAGGGCTACTACATTTTGTATTAATTGCAGCTTCCATTTCACCCTTGAAGGAAGCAACCCTGCGTAAAGTACATTGTGCTGGTCTCTTCACTTTTAGAGAAAATTGTTGGTCTTTAATTCTTTAAATGGTCTTTAAATATTCTTTAAGTACTGTAAGCATTGAGGATTTTTCAGAGCAGTATGAAAGATCAAATACTTAAATACCACAAAAAGTTCATTCCAAATGTGCTTCTCTCTAAAGTCAAAACACTTTTCCTAGATTTTGCAGATATAACCTGAGGTTAATTGGAAATATCTTGAGAAGAAAATAGTGAATAATTAAGTTATATCATAATTACTGAAAATATGGAATAGGGTTAAAACATATTTATATTTCGTAGAAATCTGTAGGGAGGCTTCATATATTACCTAAGTTGGTTTAATTTCACAGAATTGCAGTCCTGTTCTATTTACCATGCATCCCTATAGAGGCCATTTTAGTGGAGAGAAATACTTCCACATGAAGCAGCTTTTGCTGTAAATAGCAGAACCATGTTTTGGTGTACTTAATATATATATATATATATATATATATATATATATATAT